GTTCAGGGCAGAGCCAGGACTCAATCTGCCCCTGACATTTGGGGTGTCCCCAGGGGATCTGGCACCTGGGGGGCTGGTGGGGGCATCACCCCGTGCCCGGGGCCCCTGCAAAGCTGCTGCCTTATGGGTCCTGTGTACTGGGGTGTGGGGCTGGGGGCAGGCAGCATCCCCCCCGAGGGTGCTCAGCCCTGCCTGGCCTTCTGCTTCTTCCCGAGCCCAGCTGCCTGCAGAGTCGCCCCCGTCCCGCTCTGGCAGAGATTGCTGTCTGCTCAGAAATACGGGTCAGGTCAGGGAGTGAGTGTTGTGAAAACACTTCTTCTCCTGCAGCGAGCTGGAAAGTGCTCAGCCTGTCCCCGGCAGCATCTGCCCACCTCTGCCTGCTGCCTGCACCCCACCTGCTTTCCTCCTACCAAACCCCAGCTCTGTGGTGGGGAAAATCCCCCTCGTGTTGCCCTTCTTGCAGCAAGACCCCAGCCTGGAAATGCTCTGGCTGCTCCATGAGGGGAAAAATCCCATCCAAGGGGTGGTTTTATGGGGTGAAAAGTGGTTGTGAGATCGTAGCAGGGCTGTGGGGAGCTGATGGCCATGTGGCAAGCAGGGGACAGCATCCCATCCCTGTCCCCATCCCTGTCCCCCCATAAAAAGGAGCTCCATGCAAACCCCTTCTTCCCAGCAGGCTGGCTTGCAAGGATGCCCAGAGCTCCTGGTGCCACCCAGTACTGCCCAGTGAGCTGCTGGCACCGATGGTGACTCCAGCAGACAGGTGAAAAAATGAAAGCAAGCTGGGTATCCTCAGCTGTTGGAAAGCTGGAGTCCCCATAGCCCTCTGAATTCAATAACCCTCCATGTGGCAAGGGGTTAAATCCAGCATCTCCTGATTCACCCAGAGCAGGACATGGTGGCTGTGGGGCACCTCCAGCATCTCACTCCAGCTTCCCAGTGCCGTCCCACACTGACCTGCCCACCCCTGCCTGCTGCCTGCACCCCTCCTGCTGCTTTGCTTTCCTCCTACCAAACCCCAGCTCTGTGGTGGGGAAAATCCCCCTCGTGTTGCCCTTCTTGCAGCAAGACCCCAGCCTGGAAATGCTCTGGCTGCTCCATGAGGGGAAAAATCCCATCCAAGGGGTGGTTTTATGGGGTGAAAAGTGGTTGTGAGATCGTAGCAGGGCTGTGGGGAGCTGATGGCCATGTGGCAAGCAGGGGACAGCATCCCATCCCTGTCCCCATCCCTGTCCCCCAATAAAAAGGAGCTCCATGCAAACCCCTTCCCAGCAGGCTGGCTTGCAAGGATGCCCAGACATAAAAAGGAGCTCCATGCAAACCCCTTCTTCCCAGCAGGCTGGCTTGCAAGGATGCCCAGAGCTCCTGGTGCCACCCAGTACTGCCCAGTGAGCTGCTGGCACCGATGGTGACTCCAGCAGACAGGTGAAAAAATGAAAGCAAGCTGGGTATCCTCAGCTGTTGGAAAGCCTTGGGGAGTCCCCATAGCCCTCTGAATTCAATAACCCTCCATGTGGCAAGGGGTTAAATCCAGCATCTCCTGATTCACCCAGAGCAGGACATGGTGGCTGTGGGGCACCTCCAGCATCTCACTCCAGCTTCCCAGTGCCGTCCCACACTGAGTTATTGGGAGTTGGTCACTCCGTCACAGCTGTGTGATGCTGATTCCGGTGGTTGCAGCCACTCCATGGGGCGTGAAGGTGGCCACATCTGAGGTCCAAGGGCGGGAGGAGGAGCTGGTGGAGTGTGGAGAACCTCTCAGATGCTCAGCATGTTTGGGGGGCTCCATGCGGAGCAAGTGCAAGCAGATTGACCTGCACAGACATCCAGGATGGATAAATCCACAGGAGGAGCTGGTGACTGTGGTCTGTGCTGATCTCAGAGGCGCAGGCTGGAGAGGAGGGATGCTTCTGAGGTCCAGGTCCTCGATGGCTGCATCCTCTGAATTACCATGTCCTGCACATAAGGCCTGACGTCAGGCAGAGTTCTGGCATTGTCTTCGGTGGAGAGACCCTGTGGTGGCCTCTGGGGACTCAGCCCACACCACAGAGGCAGCCCCCCAAGCATTCTCTTTGGCTGTGCACCCAGGCACCTAGCTGAGATGAGCACCTTCTGATGCCATCAAAGTCCTTCATCCGCTGTGGCCCCAGAGCAGGACCAGGCCCCACCATCTGCCCAAAGCCTTTGGGGCTGGGACGTTGGGGTGACTGCAAGAGAAAACTGGGAGACTTGAAAGAGCCTCCAGGAAGATACTGAGATGGTCTCATCCAACCATGACAAGGTCACGTCTCCATCCCGTCCCTGTTGCGGTGTGTGAGTGTGAGCATGGATCTTCCACCACCCTCCTGTCTTGATGTGGGGTGGCAGGTCTGTGGGACTCACCCAGGGAAGGCATTTTCTAGACCATTATCAATTCTGTGTCCCAGTGAAGCTGTGGGTTGATAACCAACCAAAATTCCTGGCCCTGGTCCCCTAAAGCACGAGAGCTCAACCTAAACCGTGTCTTTGGGGTTTCCTTGTTTTGCCTCCTGCCTCGCATGAAGCTTTTGTGGCATCAGGAAGATGCTGAGCTCATTAAAAACACGAGTCAAGAGAGTGATGGGTGCTGTTTGATGCCAGGGAACGGCTATTTGAGGAGCTCTTGGGGAGGCTTGGGGGTGGTGTGGACTCACAGGAAAGCATCTGCAAAACCTCCGTTGACGGGCATCGGGAATGTTTTCCAGCTGAGTGTTGCCTTTGCTGCTGCAATTGGGACTCCAATTTACAGTAACTGGTGCATTTACAATAAATAGGAGTTTTGTGCCCATTGCAGACAAACTGCACCTCCGGGAGACACTCCTTGCACTTTAACAGTGAGTTTCTGCTACACGTGGCTGTGGAAAACACACACAGCGTTTCAAAAATCCAGGAAGGACCCCCCAAAAGCCCCCAAACCAGATGACAAACAGCCCCAAGCTCCCACCTGCAGAAGGGTTATTGACTGCAGCTCCTCCCTCTGCCCGGCTGCGGTGGGTCCCAGCAGCTCTGCTCCGAGAGGTTGATCCTAAAGGAGATCACGCCAGGTTTTGCTCCCAGTTTGGGACATTGCCCAGCTTGATGAACACCCCCGTGAGCTCGCAAAGGGGTTTCTCCAGCCACCCTGTCCCCTGCCTGGCTGCCAGGAAAGCAGTCCTGCTGCTCCCAGCAGCGCTGGGGATGGAGGCCTTTCTGTTTGCCCTGACTTTTTTGCATTCCCAGTGCAAATGCTGCTGGTGGAAGACATGGAGGATGAAACGAGAGGTGATGCTCCTGGCTAGCCCGGGACCTGGGATGCTGCAGCCCAGGTTGGCTCCTGGGGCCAAGGCCATGGCGGGGTCCAGTGCAGGGCTGGGGACCTTCCCCCAAGAAGCAGAACCTGCCACCAGCCTGTTTTTTAAGTCAACCAGATGCCACCAGCAGCCCTGGAAACCTCAGCCCTGCATTGGTCTCTGTAGCTGTTTTTAAGGGGAGATGTTGGGGTCAGGAAGTCTGTGCTTGTGGCAGGGGCCTTGGCAGGGGGGGTCACAGAGTTCGCCCATTGCGGTGTGAGGACAGCCTCTGCCTCACCTGGGGTCCTCCCAGCCCCCCCACTGCTGTACCCACCCCCAGCACCCCCGGGAGCAGCGGTGCAGGAGGAAGGTGTGTGGGTACGGAGCCTAGCACTGCGTAACTCAGTGTCTGATTCACCCAAGAGGCAGCTGGAGACGGCACAGAAAAGGGGGTTCCTCCTGTGCTGGAGCTCACGTGCCCCCAGAAACTCCTTCCTTGGTTCTGCACTCCCACTTGGCTGCTTCTCCCACTGGATAGCCTCTTATCTTCCTTAATCCCACCAACACCATTAATTACCTTGGCTTCTTGCCCACTTTGCAATCGTGCCTCCTGCTGGGTTAGAGAGGCGCATTGGAGATGGAGCTGGGTCCTGGAGGATCTTTGGGTCCAGAGCTGGGTCCTGGAGGCACTTTGGAGCTGGAACTGGGTCCTGGAGGAACTTTGGGTCCAGAGCTGGGTAAAGGTGGCACTTTGGGTCCAGAGCTAGGTTATGGAGGCATTTTATACTAGTTTTGTTTGAGGAGGAAATGCCACATCTGCAAGACAGTAGGGTGAGTGTCCTTGGAGGGTGCTTCAGACCTGGCTGGGCTGGGGCCAGGGGTGCTGCAGTCCTGGCAGTGAACCCAGCACCTTCCCCGTTCCTCATCAGGGCTGGTGGGGGAAGCTGGGCTCTGCAGGGCCGGCAGGCGGACAGGAGCCTTGAGCCACATGGTACCTGTGACACAGTGAAAGGGCTGACCCTTCGACGTGCACACTGAGCCCACCACTGCTGTGTGGAGCCGGCTCTTCCCTGCTTTCATCCATCCTCAAAATGTGCCCTGGAAAAGCTCCCTGGGGCTGGAGGAAGAGCAATGTGCTGCTTCTCTACCGTTCCCATCCTTGGAAGCTCTCCCAGGGCTGGGAGCAAGTCCTGAGGGTCCCACCCCAGCACTGGGTCCCTGCATGAAGTGAGGTCTGGCTGCGGCCATGTGTTGGTTCTTCAGGTGCCTGATGGGTCCCTGCCTGAGGGCTTTGTCCACACAAACCTTGCTTATCTCTCCTGGGGGTGCAAACACCCCTTCCCTCATCCCATGGGGCCTCGCTGAGTGAACCTCCCCCTGGGAGTGTCCTCAATGTCCCCAGGAGGTGCTGAGCTGGCACCAGCATTGAAATGGTGCTGGGTGATGCTCCTGGTGGCTTTGGAGATGGCAATGTGAGGGTCAACTGCACTTCCCATCACTTCTGGCAGAATCCAAGTGTCTGGTCCCTTATGTCCTCCACGACCATTGGGGTCTATGCCCCTCCACCAGAAGATCAAGTGCTCTTCTGTATCCCTGCTCTCAATGCAGATGTGGTCCTTAGTGCAGATGGCCACTCAGGGATGCAGCTTGGGCATGGGGATGGGTGGGGTCGGCAGGAACCTGGGTGACCACCAAGGTGTCATTGTGTTTCAGGGAGCCCTTAACCCACCATGACGTTCAAGCAAGCATCCATGATGGCCCCAGAGGCCACGGCCACCACAATACCTGTGGCCACGATGGAGAACTCCACCGAGGCTGCGGGGCCAGGCGAGAGCAAGGAGGACATGTTCACCAAGCTGAGGGACAAGTTCATGAATGAGCTTAACAAGATCCCCTGTGAGTAGCTGCCTCCTTTTCCAGGTATTACTCTCCTTATGACCCCACCACTGCTCCAGTGCATTGCAGCATGTGGGGCAAGGCAGTGGAGTGGCTGGGGCTGGGAGGGAGCTGGGGGCTGATGATGATACCGACTTTGGCCCGCAGTGCCGCCCTGGGCCCTCATCGCCATTGCGGTGGTAGCTGGACTCCTCATCCTCACCTGCTGCTTCTGCATCTGCAAGAAGTGCTGCTGCAAGAAGAAGAAGAACAAGAAAGAGAAAGGCAAAGGCATGAAGAATGCCATGAACATGAAGGACATGAAGTCAGGCAACCAGGTGATGTTCTTCTGGACTGCTTGGCCTTGACCTGCACTTGATGTTGTAGGACGATCCCTCTGGTTGAATTACTGTTGGGGAACTTGTAGCTCAGGCAGCAGAGGGGGATGGAGCCACCAAGATCCTGAGATGGGGCAGTGCAGACTTGAGCCTGGAGCTGAAACAGCAGCACTGTCCTCTTCCAGAGCCTGGTGGTCTGGGTGGGACCAGGCTCAGGCTGCCTTGGACCAACTGATGCTTCACCTGAATGTTAATTTAATCCCTTGTGTCTCCTTGCCTTCCTTGGAGTTGCCTTCTCATTTCTCTGTGCTTTCAGCAGAGGCGGGAGGGCCACCAGGCTAAAAGCCCCACCAGCTTGTGGGAGTCCCCAAAAAGCCATTGCTCAAGAGGCACGTTCTGGTGCATGGAGTGGATCTGGGGCCGTCTCCCTGTCCTGGGGGCCAGGAGGGGAGAGCAGGAAGGAGGCTTTGGTACCAGCGAATCTGGGGGCGATCCCAGTCATTTCAATTCATCAGCCCAACCTAGGGCCATTTGGAGGGGGTGGGAAATTTTGGGTATCCATTTCTGTTCTTCAGAGCGAGGTGGGCACCACGGGCTGGCAGGCAGGGCTGGAGCGCTGAGTGTTGAGTGAAGATGCTCCATCAGACCTGCCCATCCACACACCCTCTTGGTGGTGGGAGACGTGGGGTAGGATTCCCCAATGTTGTCCCCTAGGGTTCCACAGGGCCATACAAACCCTGATTCCTCACCACACCACGAGTCCCTTGTCAGTGCTCTCTAACATGGCTCTCTTCCCTCCTGCTGCTCTCGCTGTCTTCCCTCCCTGCTGCCCTGTCTGTGTGTTCCCGCACTGTCCTGGGACACCCTCCACGGTAGGTGCCACCACGAGCCTCCTTCTCCATTGTCTGCTTCCAGGGTGGGACAGGGGACCTGGGGTCACACCACAGAGGTGATAAGGATCTGGGGCTCCCATCCCATGGACCGTGGTTTGGAGACGTGTGGAGAGGGGTGCCTTTGCCTTAGACACAGGAGAATTAGGTTGGGTGTCTATTGCAAAGTTAATAAAATGGCTCTGCTAAGGCCTTAGCACTGGCTGCAGGGCTCCCCAAGCAGTAGGTTGCTTGCATGCAGCCCCCCAATACAAGCACCAAACCTCACCCCCTGGAGCTGACCCCACGTCCCAGCGCCCTGGGGCAGCTCCCACACCATCTCAGATGGAGCAGCACAAAGCACCGAGGGCTCCCCAGCAGCTGCGTGGTTGTGGGCAGAGCCAGGGCCACCCCAGGGCTGCTCTCCTGGTGCGTTATGTCCCCAGTGTGGGGTATCTCCTTGCCCCTCATGGGGAGAACCCAGGGCTAGAGATGCCAGTGGGGTTGGGGTCCTGGAGGTGCCCAGCAGTGTGGGGACAGGGACACTGGGCTGTGACCCTGCTGCTGAGCTGGGCACCTTGGCTGCCATTGCAGGATCAACAGGATGATGATGACGCAGAGACGGGTCTGACAGAGGGGGAAGGTGAGGAGGAGGAGAAGGAGCCAGAGAACTTGGGCAAGCTGCAGTTCTCATTGGACTACGATTTCCAGGCGAACCAGGTGATGGAGGGTCTGAGGAGATGGGGGAGTGGAGTGGGGTTTGCTCAGGGAGGGTATTTGAGAGGAGAAGTCTTCCTGTTGGACCTGGGGGGCATGGGAGGGATGGGGGAGCTGGGTGCTGTGCCTTGGGGAGTCCTGCCCCATGTTGGTCTGGAGACAAGCCCTTGGCATCTGCAGCGCGTAGCTGGCCTCTCTTGCTGAAGACACTCCTCTCCCCCTCCAGCTGACAGTGGGGATCCTCCAAGCTGCTGAACTGCCAGCTTTGGACATGGGTGGCACCTCAGACCCGTACGTCAAGGTGTTCCTGCTCCCTGACAAGAAGAAAAAGTACGAGACCAAAGTGCAGAAGAAGACACTCAACCCTGCCTTCAATGAGACCTTCACCTTCAAGGTGAGTCCCCGACCAGCAATAGGGGACCTTGTCTCTCACTCACATCTTTCCCCCAACCATGTCCCAGTCCTGTACTTGGACCCTCGCTGCTGGGAGTGAGTGGTTGTGGTTTGGGCTCCTCCGAGCCCATTGTCAGCTCAGTGGCCTTCTTTGTGCAGGTCCCCTACCAGGAACTGGGTGGGAAGACACTAGTGATGGCCATCTATGACTTCGATCGCTTCTCCAAACACGACATCATTGGTGAGGTGAAGGTGCCCATGAACACGGTGGACCTGGGCCAGCCCATTGAGGAGTGGCGGGACCTGCAGAGTGGCGAGAAGGAGGAGGTGAGAGCTGGGCTGGTGCGAGGCCCTTGGCCAGCTGAAGCTCTTGGCCAGAAGGGTTGAGATGTGGGGTGGCCAGAGTGAGCTCTGCTTTCTGGGCCATCCCACAGTGCTCGGGATAGCTATTGCCGTGGAGTCCCACCTGAATGCCATGCATGTCCTAGCTGTGATCTGCCCCTGTTGTTCCCACATGCAAAAGGCCTTTCTGTTCCAAAAATGAAGAGTATAAATGTCTGGGTGCTGCGCTGGGACTGGCCTGTCCCAGCCCCAAGTGATCAAACCCTTGTACCTGTGCACGGGGCACCAGCTTGTGCCTGCACTGAAGGTTGAACGGGGTTTGGAGTCACCTGCCCGTGGGACTGTGTACCGACACTGTGGTATGACGCACGGGCAAGGCTTTGATATCTGCTCCCTGCTCTGCTTGGCAGCCAGAGAAGCTAGGAGATATCTGCATCTCCCTCCGGTATGTGCCCACGGCTGGGAAACTCACTGTCTGCATCCTGGAGGCCAAGAACCTGAAGAAGATGGATGTCGGGGGTCTCTCAGGTGGGTGTTGGCTTGTGGCCATCCTCCTCCTGCCCCACTATGGGTGTCTCAACATCCTTTGTTGGGGAAGGATGTCTGGCACGAGGACAGAGGCGAGCACCCACCAGTGTCACACCACTGTCCCCAGCTGTCCTACAAGGGGATCCACAGGATGCAGAAGAGCTCCATCCCTTGGCCAGTTGCTCCCTCAAACCCTTTCCGCTCCAAATATTTTGGCTTTGGCCTCCACAAACCTCTGAGCACCTTTACTTGGGGAGCTCTCTTTACCCCATGGTGCACCTCATCCTAGGCTGAGACTTCTCCTGGAACCCAGCCGATAGTGTCCCCTGAGCATCTCAACCCTGGCTGATACACCCTCCTGTCCCCCCCAGATCCCTATGTGAAGATTCACCTGCTGCAGAATGGCAAGAGGTTGAAGAAGAAGAAGACCACAGTCAAGAAGAAGACCCTGAACCCCTACTTCAATGAGTCCTTCAGCTTTGAGATCCCCTTTGAGCAGATACAGGTTTGTCTGATGAATTCCCTGGGATGCAGGCAGGGTGAGGGCAATGGGAGAAGTCTGCAGCTGCCCAAGCCCATGTCCCTGACTTCTCAGTAGCCTGGGCGGCTTCTGGTCCAGTCCCCCATGAAATATGTCCAGTCCCAACCTGGGCCTGTGCTGATGCTGAGGGCAGCTGGTGCAGGGGCAGAGGTGAGGGACTGGCCAGTGCCCATGGGAGATCTAATCCCAACCAAGATCCCAACTGGAATGGGGCTTTCTTCCACTCCTGGTCCTTTGGTGCTCACCCCAAGTATAGAGGAAGCCCCAGTGGTCCTAGGGTTATTTTGGACCACTGGTATGTGCCTTGTGCCCCTCCATATCCTCTCCAAGACCTAGCACATGCCCCTTGCCCCAGCCCAGCCATGTCGGGCCCTGCAGCCCACAGCTCTTGCCCAGCCCCACACCACCCCTTGGTGACCTTTCCCAGATGGCCATGTCAGGATGAGCTGGGCCCCCACTGTGGCTCTGAGGGCCTGGGCTCCTCGGGGAAGGAAGTGGAGGAAGTTATGGGCATGGAGAGGACCTTGCCTCAAAACAGGCCATGGCAGGGCTCAGCCTTGCAGGATCCCTGGGGTGCCCTGTTGATCCACCCCAGGGCTGGGGACAGCATGGAGGCCGTAGAGCAATCCTGGCCTCTGTACTTTCCACCCTCTAAAGAAGGTTTCCTCCTTTAGAAAGTGCAAGTGGTCATCACGGTGCTGGACTATGACAAGCTGGGGAAGAACGAAGCCATCGGCAAGATCTTCACGGGCCTCAACTCCACCGGCACAGAGCTGCGGCACTGGTCCGACATGCTGGCCAACCCCCGGCGGCCCATTGCCCAGTGGCACTCGCTGAAGCCAGAGGAAGAAGTAGATGCAGCTCTTGGGAAAAACAAATAGGAAGATCTGCCGGCCAGCGCGGCCCGGCACTGCGGACAGTGGGGGCGACCCAGAGCTACTGATACCTCAGTTACGCAACCTTTGGTTTTGGTTTTTATGTTCTGTTTTAAGCTGAAATACCCTTTGATGGCTGTGGAAGGGTTTCCAGACAGTCCCAATAGCTTCCAGGGGAAGAGGTTAAAGACACAGATGGTTCTTTTCGTTCTTCAGCGTTGCTCCATTCTGCTGCATGTCCCATCACCTCCGCTCACCATCCCTTCCAGGTGGACCCTTCCAGATCCCACCTGGGACCTTCCTCAGCGGCTGTGACACCAGCCTGCAGCATTGCTGCCACCGTCCTTCCCTTGGGTTCATGTGGGGAACCATTGAACGTTGCATGGAGGTGATACTGGAGCCTGAGAGTGCGAGATGACCAGACCCACTGTGCTTGCTTGGGGCATGAACAGCTGCGTGGACATCAAAATGGTGGAGAAGACTCTCTGTGGGAGACCCAGGTGCCTCCTGCTCTGCCTCCTTCTGTCCGGGAAAGGTGAAAGCCATGGTTTCACACCAAGGATAGCCAAGTGTCCCCAGCCAGCTCCAGGTCTGGTTTCTGCTGGGGAGAGGTTTGCAGGGACCAGGGGTGTTGGGCTGCAAAGCCCTCGGTGTTGCAGCTGGAGCAATGGGGGCTGATCTGAGTGTGGGGAGCCCTGGGGGTTCTGCTCTGAGGAGACACAAGGTAGGATGTGCATGCAATGGCAGTGCAGTGTGGGCCACTAACACCTCTGCCAAGTGGCCATCACGTCCCCAAAGGCCGGGCAAGGACAGGTCTGGGTGATTTGCTTGTGGGTCCCATCATCTTGGTTGAAACTTGTAGATCCAGATGCTTCCACAACGCATGTTTCTGCTGAGAGGTCTCCAAATGGGATGGGGGCAGCCCCCCAGAATGGTTCCAGGTGCTTCCCTGAAGGCCATTGTGTGTCCCCAGGATGCAGCTCTGTTATGAGTACCCCAGTGCACCCTGGGCCAGCCAAGGGGCTATGGGGAGGTCCAGCCCTGTCCCCGCATCCCAGTGCCATGATGCAGGTGGGAAGGGTGAGAGCGGGCCCATGGCCAACAAGGGACCAAAACCCCCAGCCCCCATGAGCTGCTTCTTTCCACTGGGACGTCGGCTCCTGGATCCCCCTTGTCCCGCTCCCCTCAGGGGTATAAGCCATATCTGTGTCCCTGGCAGTGGGCAAGAGCTTCTCGGTGCCACCTCTCCCACTGCAGGACCAAGCACCTGAGCTGGAAAGCGAGCATTGGGAAAGGGTCCAGCAGCCCTGCCCAGTTCAGCCCAGTCTGTACTGGAGCACTGATGTGAGCTGGTGTCCCCGTCCCAGCTCTGACCCCCCAGCAACCTCGTGCTCCCTGCTCCACTTTGCTTTCCTGGACTTGGTTTAACGAGGCTTGGGCAGAAGTTAAGCAGCGAAGGGTTGTGCATCTTCAGGGAGGGTGGTTTGCAGTGGAGAACTGGAGCTCTGGTGTGCAGCCGGGGATGCCCTGGGGACCTAACACCCAGGCTGGGACCTTGGTGCAGGGTGTCCTGAGCCTGGGGACAAAGTGCCAAAACTGAGCTCACCCCCTGAAGCCCCCTGTGGCCCCCAAAGGGCATCTCAGTCCTGGCTGGAGGTGGGGAGATGATGGGAAACAGCTCAGGGGGTTAAGGTTGGACATGGGGACGAGCCCTTTCCCCTGGAGGGATGTGCAGCTCTGGGACAGGTCCCCAGGGAGGGATGTCTATCCTTGGGGGAGGTTTGGGGCTTGGTTTGCCAAGCCGTGATCTGGTGGTGGGGGTGGTTGAACCAGAGACCTCCAAAGACCGCTTCCACCACCTCCTCGGCTGCATTTGGTCCGTGTGTTAGGATTCTCACACCCATGTCCTGGGTCCTGGCCGTTGGAACGGCAGGGTGAAGGTGGCACTGGGGCCACGCTGGGCTTCATGGGTCATCAAGTGAGTGCCCCTGCAGGGCTTCTCCAGCGTTAATTAGTCCCTTTTCCTACTGGATGTGTCAGTGTCAGCAAATGAGGTCCTGCCCTGATTGTTTAGCTGAAGGGGGAGAAATCTTGGGGGTTTTTTAATTAACGGGGAAGCAGGGGTGGCTGATGCCCCTCGGCTGGGGGCACTGGCGGGATTTGGGCTCTTGAATGAGTCTCATTTCAGAGCCTGTTTTTCTCAAGCTCATTTTGGAGTCCATCCAGGCACTGGGGGGGGGGGG